TCGATGACTATTCATCTTCAAATATAACAAAGATGAGAAATAGAATAAAAATCGAGCCGGTACTCATGAAACACTCTTTATATTTTTCGAGTACCAGATGACAGAAACAACAGCATCTGGCAAAAATGGTTTAACACTTCAAATCGAAGATTTTATTATTGTATGGCTTGATGCAACAATCAACCGTGATGATAATAATAGATTGTTGAAACGCCAATTTTTATTACAAATTTCTTCAAATTGTATTCAAACATTCGTAGATCAACATGAATATATCGAATACATTCGACAAAACATCAACGAACATATCTTTCTTATTGTGTCTGGATCATTAGGCAAGAATGTTGTTCCGCTTGTTCACAATTTATCACAAGTAATTCAAATCTATGTATTCTGTGCTGTTAAGGGACCACATAAATCATGGTCAGAATCGTTCACAAAAATTCGTGGAATTTTTATTGACGAAAATCCTCTGATGGCTTGCTTGAAAAATGATCTAAAAATGTATTCGAGTACACTTGCACCAATTAGTATTGGTTATACAAACGAGCGTTCACTACAAGATATCGATAAAGAACAAGTAAACTTTCTATGGTTTCAACTATTGATTGAAGTTATTTATCGTTTACCACAAACATCGCTAGCAAAAAAACAAATGATTGAACAATGTCGTGAAAATTATGTAGATAATTCATCTCAATTACGTATGATAGAGGATTTCTATGAGAAATATACTGCAGATTCAACCATTAATTGGTACACAAGAGACTGTTTTTTATATTGACTTCTAAATAGAGCATTCCGTAGACAAAAGATTGATATAATTTTTAATTATCATTATTTTTTAATTGATTTATTTAGACAATTAACTACACTTTATCAAGATCAATTTGGTGAAAAAATCGGCAAATTGACTGTTTATCTTGGTCAACCTATGAACGCACAGGAATCGGAAAAATTTAAAACTCATATTGGTCGTCTTATGTCAATTAACACATTTTTTTCAACATCAACGGCATGTTCAGTCGCAGTCGACTTTTCTGGCAACGGTGAACTTCAATCTATGGATATTGGATCTGTTATCTTTGAAATTGACATTGATCTTACAGTACAAAGACGTCCATTTGCACGAATCGATAAATTCAGTGATCATCAAGATGAAAATGAAATTTTGTTTGCCATCGGATCTATCTTTCGTATTGAGCAAGTGGAATTATTTACAGATAATATTTGGTTAGTACAATTGATATTAACCAATGAAGTTAAAAAAGAAATAGAAGATTTGTTAGCATAGTTTACGCGACATATTGGTAATCAACCATCAATTCTTGAACTCGGCTTCTTCTTTCGAAGATTGGCGATTTTGAACGAGCCAAATATTTCTATCAGTGTTTACTAATAGAATTACCATCAGATCACAAAGATTTAGAAGTCCTTTACAATAATCTTGGTGAAATTTATCGACAATAAGGTTATTTTGATGAAGCTATGGAATATTATAAGAAAGCTATCGATGAATTAGCAGAATCAGTCGGATTTTTTCACGCATGGTTTGCTATTGTGCACAGTAATATGGCAATGATATTCGATGCACGTGATGAATTAGAAATAGCTCTTCTTCATTATCGTTGTGCTCTTTTCATCATTACACATATGGAGTCCGTTGATGGTGAGTTGTTCAGTACCATCTATAATGGTATGGCAGCTATTTTTCAACGACAAGGAAAACTAATGGCGGCCTTAAAATTGTATAAGCACAGAAAATAGAGAATCTAGTATTACCGACTAGTCATCCGTCGATCGCCGTGACTTACATGAACATTAGACACTTGTATTATGCAATGGAGAAAATTTTACCAGCACTCGATCATATGCACAAAGCTCTTGAAATTTTTTTGGGTGTATTGCCTAAAAACCACTCGCCACTAGCTTTGACTTATGGATGTATCGGAGGACTGTATTTTCGTCAAGGTCAACACTTTCAAGCTCTCGACTATTATTTGAAAGCTGACCAAACGATTGACCAATCGCTATTAGCAGCTAACCATAAACTATGTGAAGATATTTATGTTAATATATGTTATATTGCAGATAACAAAAATATGAACGACATATCGATTCGCCTCCATCATAAAATCATCAAACTCTATAAAGTTCGCAGGCCACCCGATTTGTATTTGGTTGCTTTATATGCACATAATCTTGGAAGACTGTACTATGATAAGGGGAATCGTGAACAAGCAGTTGAATATCATAAGTTGGCACTCGATAATATTCAAAAATTGCCACGCACTGATCTGAATAAAGATTTGTATATAGACAGCTGAAGCGTTTCAATATATTGGATATTCCGATATTAGTCAGGAGCATCTTATACGACTCTTAGAAGAAGAAATCGATAGCAAATCACTACTTGTTGCCAAGTGTGGGTGTGGTGTGGGTGTGGATATGGGTGTGAATCTACCGCCCATTTACACCCACACCCGCAAGAACATATAGTATGAAGCAAAACTACGAATCTTTCGAGCATATGTAGTACCTATATTCTTATATGGAAGTGAAGTCTGGGCTTTAACTAATATTTAAGAGTGACGATTAAATTCCTATTACATGAAAAGTCTTCGAACAATCATTGGAGCAAATCTAGAAGATCGACTATCAAATACGAAAACATTAAAACTCACTGAACAGCCACAATTAGATATTATCATGAGAAGAAATAGGCTGAGATGTTTTGGTCATGTAAACAGGATGAATAAAGATAACAATGAACCGATGCTGCCGAAAAAACTTATGTTCTCTTATTTTCCAGGTGTCAGTCGACCTCAACACCATGGCATTAGAGAAAGATATGAAGACAATAAAAGCTGACATGAAACAATCCGATAGTACCAACTGGAGACGAGATACCATGGATAGAAACAAATGGCGCCAGGTCATCAACCGAGCCGTACACGTTTATATGCCAAGGTTCAGTATTAAACAAACAGTTCACGATGACAGACAGCGTGCACTACGAAGGCGTACTAAAGAAGCAACCCACAAGACCTTAACAACTGAACCAAATCCAACTTCAACGACGGCACCACCAACAACAAAGAAATCGAATGAATATCCCAATTGCAGTCGTATTTCTATATTTTTGATCTTCAACCTACATTTGCAACGGTACGAGAATTCCTTCCTGTCTTCCTGTACATTAAGACATACAATCTTTAATTCAGCATTCACAAATACAAGTCAAAGTATTGTTATTATTGTTGATGAAGTCAATGATCACACTTACCTTGATTATGATAATCCGGCGGGAAAACTAATCATTATAAAGATCATATCTCATGATGATCATTGAAATGGCAAAATTTTAAACCCACGCCCACACCCTTCTTTGAAGGCGATTCTTCCGAAAAACACATATGAGCCATTCATAAAGATTCATTGATCACGATGATTCAAAACTTTTTGAAGTTTTCGAAAACTTAAAATCAACAGAATAAGACATAGTATTAAGATGCACAGAAAGCGATGGATCTTTTCCGTAAATTTTCAACTTTCACATGATCTAATTTCAAGTAAACACATTCTCACATAAGAATATGGAACATTACCACCAAAATTTTGCCAAAAAAACAATCTTTCCACTCTACAACTCTTCCTAACGACTAATCCGCAATCACTTAAGAGGAATCGTTAAAACAATCATCGTCGAGTCATGAAATCCAAGTCTTCAAAATGTTTGATCTCGCTCATTCCTTGAAAACAAACTTGATGCAACATGCACTTAATTTTGCTCAAGAAAACACACAATTTGATGCCCTAGAAACCTCCGGACCGTCGATTCTGTCATCGACCCCGACAGGACACAGATGAGGTTTTCATCTATCTAATTTTCCAAAACTTTATGCTGCTAGATTTTTCCAAATCATCATCATCCTATAGAACCCACAATGATATTCCTTATTCCCTAGATAAGCCATTGATATCTCTCCTCTAGTCCTGACTACTTAAAATTTCTGTAAGCCATTTGCCAGAACATACGAAACTCGGTACTTCCAACTTCGCGATCTTGTCCAATAGTTGTAACCAGCTGGAATACACTACGCGCCTTATCATTCTAAACACCAAACATAGTTGAATGCCTTGTAAAAGTTGGAATCCTTCATTGTATCCAAGAGTCTGATAGGCTTTATACGACTATTTTTCGGAGATATCGCTGTGCGATGATTATCACTTCAAGATGTCATAGAACTCTTGAATTCTGAGAAAATACATAATCTGTTTCAATAATCTCCAGACCAAATATTGCTTCATGCCTTAAAACACTTGAAATCCTTGCTAGACTCATCGAATTCAACAGCACTTCTCTCGAAACTTCTCAAAGTATCAATTTAAAAGGTTTCGCACTTCGTGGTCGTTTATAATCATTGGCATACCACATAATTTCCTCTCCTCTTCACTACTCTGCAAAGATAGAACTCGTTCTATGTACATCAACCCACGAAACTATTGATTTGGTCCTAGAGCAAGGGGGGAAAAGCTGAATTTTTTATTTACGAGATTGACTTGATTGACAGTGATTATCCACTTTCTTTTATATCGAGAAAACATCAGTCGGAGTTCTTTTTCGACCAATATAATATTTTTATGACTGAACAACAGGAAAATACTGTGACTCTACATGTAAATTTTGATACAAAACTTGAATATACAAATGACAAAAAACGAAATAAACTGCGGTCATATTTTTAGCGAGGAAAATAAAAGCAGATTAAACCTCTGGTGTCCGCTAACATTATCTTCCAAAAGTTTATTTAGCACGTCGAAAAGACAAGATGAGATTCGAATATGAAGAACTCGAATGGAAATATATTTTATTTGTTAGTCATAACACGTTTTAAACGATCTGAAGACAAAGTAGACTTGCCGTTTGAAACAAGCCAAGCAGCTGTCTGTTTATGTAAATATTTTTTTGTACCATTAATGTTGACGATAAAGTACCACTTAGCCAACGTTGGATTAATTGAGTCAAAAACTTGCATTCCTTGAAAAGTAGTCGAACTAACATTGCAAAGATGACCAGATAGATAATCCTCGTCATCGCTGCCATCGATTGAATCTTCATTATCGGCGTAATTTTCGGCAGTATCCACTCCTTCACAGCTGCTGTCATCTGAATCTGAGTTAAATTCTGAATCGTGTTCGTTAAGAGGTGAATAATGGACTATTTTTGATTTTTGAAGTTGAATACTAGTCAATTTTGTAATTTTTTCGAATGATGAAATTTGATGTGGTTGATACATATTCAAGTCACACACAAGATGGCTAGCATAAGAATACGCTTGTAAAATAGTATTCTCAACCGCTTCAACTGTTAGGTCTATAGTAGAAGATGATGATAAAGAAGATATTTGTTTGGAATCGATGATCTTAGACTGTTTATGATGGCGTGGAAATAAAAAGCCCTTATTTGTATCATTGCTGTTGTTGCTACTTGTTTGACATTTAATAGAATTTAGATATGATAATTTTTTCTCTCGCTGCAAAAACTGATCACTATGAAGTTTACAATTGAAGAAAATGATCCTGACGTAGCTCGGCATGATCGAAATATACTTTCAAAAGTTTGTGAGTTGAATAGAGATACGTTTAAACATGCTGTTGGTAATCTGTGTTGACTAACGAGCAGGACGAGTGTATGACTATTAATCTCGATAGAAAAGACTAATGGTAAAGTAACAAAGCATTGCTGCTTTGTATTTTTCTTTCGTTGTATATGTAAAGAAAATAATTCAGGAAGAGTTGAACCGAGCTCGCTTTTCGTTTTTTTGCTTAACGGCTTGTCCACGTAACGCGACACTTCGCTGATCAAGTTTTGAAAAAATTTTTTTTCGAATTGGACAGATCTCAGTGGGGTACTAGATGCAGTTTTTTACGCTGATTACGAATTTGGTATTAATTTTGTATAAAAATCAGATTTTGATATCGAAAACTGAATTTTAAAGTTTTCAAAAACCGTATTTTGGATTTTTTGACGAAGAAATTTTTTCAATAAAGGTCAAGAGACATACCATTCGATGCAGAATTAAATTCTCTACAAAATGGTCTATTTAGTTTTGACTTTGGCAGCTTAGAACAAATTGGAGACTTCGATACAATTCCAAACTTTCTGCTCAGTTTATGAGCTCTCAGATCGATGTATCAATCTCATTTTTGCATAGGGGATTGTCTACATAGAAAACAGTAACACTTATAAAAATCAAGTCATTCTGAGTACATTAAGTGCCTCAAAATTGG